GAAAGCATTAACCAATTATTGTTAGTAAGTAGGCTCCATTTTCCTGGGCTTTCTCCCCATTGGCTTTCTGCCAGGTTCCCTTCCAGGTCAATCTAAACAATAGCACACAAGGTAAGCACATTAACCCTATAATGACTGAATTTAGACCTTGCAACACACATATTTCCAACAACTCAGACAGCAAAAGAAATGTTTAATTACTTAGTCTCATCCCACCATGCAAAAGGGTGGTTGCCAAGGTATTTTATACATCAGAAATTTGATGCTTTATAATATGAAGAGGGACAATGCTTCAGAGACTGCTTTTCTGCATTAGCCAACTATGGGGATACTTTAGACCAGAAATCAAAAGTGGCTACTCTATTATTAAATCTGCCAGCTAGTTACACTTATGCTGTCTCTGACTTGGAAATGAAACCAAATAAAACGTTTGATGATGCTGTGAATGAATTGCAATTAGAATCTGACAACATAGAGTTTTAACCCAAGAACGAAATTTGGGAACGTGTTTAGATAATGCACGAGTGACAACTGACATTGCTCTCTCTCTTCTGTTTAAAAGTAATTCAAATATTCTTGATAGGTGTAGAAAATGGGGACATGTAGAAAATGTGATAGCAATTATAAGCACAGGAAGAAGGGTATATATATCACAGTAAATTGAAATGCCATTCTTAATTAGAAAGCCCCATTGCAAAGCTCGCCTCTGCCACAAACTTCCTGGATGGCCTTGGTCAATCTCTCCCTCCTCAGTTAGACGAGGCCATTGAGGCCAGTAGAGAAAGAGGTGTGATTGGGGTGCTGTAGCTGGGGATGGGGTTGCTCCCAGCTGGCAGCAGTGCAGAAGGTGGGGGCTGAAGGACTTTCCTTGGTGCCACCAACTCTATCTGATATGTGAGTTCCTTTTGGGCTTATATCCTGAAGCAAAACCACACCCAAACACTCCCCAACACCCATGATAGGTTTATTTACATTGATTGAGTTAACGCTAGGATCCTAGTCTCCCGATTGGAAGGGGACTAGAATCCAACCATCTATTGTTCTGGTGGAGCGAAGCTCAGGTTCTTCACATGACCACGAGCGGACTGGCTGAAACCGGATTGCGCACATGGTCGGGTTGGTACACAACAGAGTCTGACAAGATCAGTCAGACAGGTTCACCTGTAGAGTGAAAGTAAAAGATTCCTTGCCTTAACTGTAGTATTCCTAACTTGAGGGAGAATTCACTGTAAGAATTCAAAGTCTAAGTGTCAACATAAGCTGAAGTCTGAGAGAGATTTGGAAGGAGCCATTGGGGCAGTGTGTGGAAACTCCCTTTCAAGCCAAAAAGGAACAGGGTTAATTCCTCTGAGGAGAAGAAAATGAATCCATGCCCAGTGTCTCTGAGGATTTAGCTCTGAGGAGGACCCTAGTCTGTTGTAAGGGAAAGTTGTTTTAAACGACTCAGGAAATAGAAATAAATGCTAATTTAACCAAGGAGTGAGTTAGGTTCACAAAGTTAGGTTCACCAGTTCCAGGAAACCTGAACTGCCATATGAAACTCTCTGAAGAACCATTGTGGCTATAATTAAAATGCCAAGTAAAACACCTCATGCAACTAATAATACCTGAAAATAAGCTTAAATAACATCATTTTGCATGCTCCAATGTTAAATTGTATTAACAACTTTTACCTCAGCAATCCCACTCCCTGACTCTCCTATCTCTGCCTGTTGAATAAACTTGTTCTTCTGTTCTACTGTTTTACTCTAGTGCCATTTGTTTCCCCAACAAATTCCTTGGGCTGTGCTAAAAGCCGAATACTATTCTGTGGGACAGGGTGGGACAGAAATTCTTTCCAAACCCACCAGTATTCACAAGCTACCAGGCTGCTCAGTCACAGCAGGGAACCAAAGAGTTGTGGTGGGAAAATCCACCTCAGTGTGGGGAAATTGATAGGGATCTATCATAGGCCTTCACAGCACAAGCACTAATACATACTAGTGCACACACAGCAGAAATGGAAACAACAAATGATAGGCTAACCTGCAAGAGAAAATATTCAAGGAACTCTGCATACGATAGAATGCATCACAGCTCCCCTGAGGGTACAAGGAGACTGAACAACTCTTTCAGCCATATTTACAGTAACTAGACTCTTAGCAGGCTGTCGCTTGATTCGTTCTAAAGGCAATCTTGTGAAAAATCAGTGTTCCACAGATATTTTACAGTGTCATAAAAAGTAAAGGTAAAGGTTCCCTTGCTCGAAAGCCAGTCAAGTCCGACTTTAGGGTTGCGGTGCTCATCTCCGTTTCCAAGCCAAAGAGCCAGCGCTGTCCGAAGACGTTTCCGTGGTCATGTGGCCGGCATGATGACTAAACACCAAGGCGCACGGAACGCTGTTACCTTCCCACCGAAGTGGTACCTATTTATCTACTTGCAATTTCTTGCTTTCGAACTGCTAGGTTGGCAGGAGCTGGAACTAGAGACGGGAGTTCACTCCGTCATGCGGCACACTCGGGTCTTGAACTGCTGAACTACCGACCTTCCACAGCCTGCAGTTCAGCCTCTTAACCACTTGAGCCACCGCAGCTCCTATGTCATAGTGTCATAGTTTCCCCTAAAACCCCCGAAAGAGCCAGCCAATGCTTGACCCTGCCAGATGATACCCTTGCCTTGTCAGATTCCATGCTGACTTCCTCCTAGACCCTCTTGATCCTACCCTGACTCCACCACAACCCACTAGTTTCCACCCCATGATCTGCAAGGCAACTGGTGTTCTTTGAAATCACAGATATGTGCAGACCACCCAGATAGTGCCACCACTGACCCATCAGTGGGACTGTTGTATTTACTTATGGAGGCTGGCTGTGTTAAGATGTCATGGCTGGAGGTGCCTCTGAGCTCTCAAGCATGTGTTAAAAACAATCCAAACAGAAGGACTGTTTTTAAAGGCTTCATTTAAAGGAACACTTCTGAGTGTGGCTGGCTGTTTTGCGGGGCTCATCCATTACCCACAATACTGGGTTAGGCAAAATATTTATTTTTATTTTGTTAGATTTTTATCCCGCCCTCCCCACCATAACAGGCTCAGGGCGGCTTACAAACCATACATATAAATATATACATTAAAATCCCAGAATATGCCAAAAGCAGAAGTTAAAATCACAGTATATAAAACCATACCTACTCAGAACATAGATGTAATAAAAGATGGTGGCATGTTTATTAACATCCATAAATAAATGAATATGAGTCCATCTTGAGCCAGGTGAATGCACCTTGTGTATTGAGAAATCAGGTAGACATTAGACCAGTGAGTTTTGTTTTTTTTACCATACAATGTTTGGAGAACATTTGAGGAAGGGATGCCAGGAAATCAAGTGCTGGGGCCTGCCATAGATGTTGCACCAGATCAGAGAGGAATGGTTCACAGGTGAGTGGGGAGTTATGTCCAGTAGTTTCCTAGCAAAGCGCTTCTTTCAGATCGCAAAAAGTGGCAGTTGTGTGTGCCATTCCAGCGGTAGGGTTGATGTCTGCCATAGGGTTGCCAGGTCTGGGTTGGAAAATACCTGGAGACTTTGGGGGTGGATCCAGGAGAGGGTGGGGTTTGGGGAGGGGAGGGGCCTCAGCATGGTACAATACCATAGAGTCCACCCTTCAAAGCAGCCATTTTCTCCAGGGGAACTGATCTCTGCCAGCTGGAGATCAGTTGTAAAAGCGGGAGGTCCCCAGGCCCCACTTGGGGGCTGACAACCCTAGTCTGCCACAAATATGTGTAGGCCTAGCCCAAAAAGTGACTGGCAATACTAATTATTCATTTATTATGCCTCCAAGGAAGGAACTCAGGATTATCTCCTCCTCTGACATCCTTATTAACCACTACCTGATGAGGTAAGCCTAGGCCTTCCCCTTGCCTGCTCTGGGTAGGGAAATTACCCACCTCCAGCTCCAGTTTCCCAGCTGTAAGGAACTGAGTGGGATAAAAAAATGGCTTCCACACAGTGATACTCTACAAATGTCACAGATTAGGGGAGGAAGCCTAGAGCATCAACCAGAAGTGACATCACATCCTCCCCAACTTCCACTCTCCCCAGGCACCTCACCCGAACTCCCAGCATTTGCCAAGGCAGTGTTGGAATGTGGGAACTCTAGGGCAGGCAGGCTCTGAGACTGTGACTGGCTTGATGCTACCTTGTGAGCTTCATAGCTGAGTGAGGATTCTGAACCCAGGGATCCCCAGTCCAAATTCAACACTATACCATGCTAGGGTTCCCAAGTCCTACCTTTATCTGGAGCGGGGGACTCCCGGATTGCTCCCGGAGCGCGCGTGCGCCGCATCCACCTCACCCGGAAGTGACGCGACCATGCCGGGAATGCTGGGGGCGGGGCCACGACCATCTGAGGGGAAAACAGAGTTTTCCCTCGGATGACCGTGGCCCCGCCCCCAGCGTGCCCGGCGTGGTTGTGTCACTTCCGAGTGACGTGCATGTTGCGTACTTTGGGGGTGGGGTTCCCCCCGGGGCCCGATCCACTGGTGGCAGGGAACGGGCCTCTGGGGCGGGGTTTTCCCCGCCCCCCGGAGGGACTTGGGAAGCCTACACCATGCTGTCCCTCAATAAAGGGTGAGGGAAAGGGTGAATAGAAAAATGACCCTACACTTCTGCTATGCTGTAGATAGAATTTGGCCCCTTTCCCTGCAACAGCAATATCAGTACATTGTGAATGCTGAGCCAGAGGTCCCACTTGACTACTTTGATGAGAGACATAACTGGCTTCAAAATATAACCAGGCCTGCCCTGCTTAGCTTCTCACAAGGAGTGCATCGCCATGACCTTCAAACAAGGACTGGGTCAGCTCCCAGGTGGGCTGAGACATTTCAAAAGCCCTGGAGCAAACCGAGTCAAGGGGCCCCTGCCCCCTACCACTATAGCAGCCCCTCAGGATCACTCAGCCCAGATCCAGGCTGCAGTGATGAAGACAGTGGATGCAGGCTCACTTGCTGCCAGCACTATTGGGGGCTGCCTGGCTCAGCTTATTCTGGTCATTAGAGGCCTTCCAAGACAATGGCCTACTGGAAACTTTCCTTGTAAATTAAAGAGCCCTTGCCCCCCAGGGGTCTCAACAGGCCATCACATGACACGGGAGGTCTGGCCATCCAGCACTCATCAAAACAAGAACCATTTTTCCAGGCCAAGTCTCTGTTTACACTGTAGACTCCTTGGCTGCAGTTCGGGCCTGTTGGCAACTGTAGAGCCATTTTATGACACGGGCGTTCCGTTCGATCACAGAGACAGACACTGGCTGCTTCTCACCCGGCTCTTCGGTGGACAGCTGCCCTTCATTGTGGGAGGGGCTGCTCCGCTCGGAACTGGCTGACCCCATGCTTCCAAAAAGCAGGCCAGAGGAGCCCACTTCCCAGCTCCCCCCCGGCTTAAACCGCTCTGCTCCCAGCACCTCCACCAGATTCCGGTCCAAGCCACAGTAGTTGAAAAAACGCTCTTTCTCGGAAAGAGGAAGAGAACAGCACGGAGCCAGCTCTCGTTTGGAGCTTCTTGGACCTGGGCTTGTTGAGGAAGGGATTGGGTCCTTATCCACATGGGAGCTGGACTGGTGTCTCGGATTGTTGTCAGACGTCTTTCCCGTGGACCTGGTGCTTGACCTGGTTAGGATGCTGATGGAGCTCAGAGTTCTTGTTTCTTCCTTTCCCGTTGCTACCCAGGCCATGGGAGTATCTTCCTGTGCGGCTTGCTGCTGTCCCTCTCCTACCAGGCTCCTCAAAAAAGGGGAACTGCTACATCCGTCTCTTAGGGGGCTCTGAAACAGCCACCTCACAAGGCTGTAGCCCTTGTTGTTCTCTTTGTTCACAGATGAGCAATCCCGTTTCTGACGGTAGATGACAAGTGAGTCAGGCCTCAGCCCGCGTCTGCCACTACCCCTCCGTGTTGTTGGTGACTGAGGAGAAGGAGGTGGCTTTTTAGGCCCAGGGCCATCTGAGCTTACCACTATGCCTTGAGAGAACTCATTACGTTGATGGAGGGTCAGGGGTCTCCTGAAACATGGGGAAGATTGAGGGGTATAGTACAGGAGCACTGGTTCTTGACGGCTGTTGATTACTTGTTGGGATTTGACGTATTTGGCTTTGTCAGCCTCCAGCCTCTCCACTGCACTTGGGGTACGGCCTCCACTGCTGACTTCCAGCTGCCTGCGGAGGTAGTCTGGCCCTCGGTTTAGTAGCTCAAGAGGGGAAGATCCATCTCCTGGAATCAGAGGCCTCATTTTATTGAGAGGCAATAGCAGGGTGTAGGAATGTTCAGGACTTGGAAGGTTGGTCACATCAAGGAAAGATGACTTTGTGAGATCAAAGTTCACTATGTTCTCATGAGTGCATAGAGAGGTTGCCAGAATTTTGTGCTAGATTAAGGACTGGGCAGAGATGCGATGCTTTTACCACCACTAACGTTCTGGCTACTGCTTTGTAATCTGCAGTGGGACTTCTTCAGCAGCTCTCAAAAACCATTCTCTGCACTCCATTGTTAAAATTGACCCACAGCGATGCAATCAAGGGAATTCCTTTCTGTGAGCAGAGTGGGTGTCCCCAACTCAGCTGTAGCTCTGGAAGCAGAAAAGATAATCCATTAATGAAACTGCACACACTTGGAATTATAGCTCTGGTAGGAAATCATTCTACAAAGAAAGGAATTGTTGGTGTACACAGAGAACATACAGTAATATTACCGATGATTAATGGTTTTTTAACATGAAACATAACCTGTTGTTCAACTTATCACAGATTCATAGCAGCATCAGGAACTGACAAATTCTGACTGAGCTTCCAGTTATTATCGATGGTACTGAGCTAGAGGAACTAAAGGTCTGACTCATCAGATGTATTCGTAGGAGCCATTATCAGCTTGTGACCCTGCGATATAAAGGTTCCAGAAACCTAGCACGGCTGAGCTCTTTGGATTACCTAATCCCAGATGTTCTCTCAGAGCTTAGTCTACCTCACAGCAAGCTGGGAAGGGTAAAATGAAGGATGAGAGAACCATGTATTGCACCACATGGAGAATTTTCCAGTTATGATTTGTGTCTCTAGCTTATAATCACTCAGCGTTTACAACCACAGTCAACCAGATGTACTGGAGGCATGAACACAGGTTCTCAAAACCGTGGCGCCCTACATGAGAGGCATATAAATAGTTTCCCGTTTTTGTAACTTTCTACAAAAAAAAATTGTAGAAAAAACAGAACTTCCTTGCTATGGACTGGATGATACAGACAGCTGGCTTCCCTCAAGCTGTTCCATGTATCTTATGGTAAACTGTTACCTGGCAAAAGGTTACCGGGATTTCTCCAAAGTCATGGGCAAGAGGGGGTAGGTTAATTTATGGGTTGTGCACCACTACTGAAAAATAGGAAATTTGAAAAATGGGCTAATACGCCCATTCTCCTGTATGGCGATGAGATGGTAGAGTCTCCAGACAGTAGAAGGGATTGAAGAGGAAATAAGGATTGGTATCCACTCCTGCTTTTTTTTGGGGGGGGGACCTTTGCTGGCCCCTCTTCCCTGCTATGGCTGCCCCCTCCAGTTCACTTGCCCAGAGAGCCAACTGACACAGAGAAAAGGCAGTGGTCATTTCCCTCAGGGCAGTGGTCAGGGTTGAGACCACATGGTGAGGCGAGAAGGCAGCTGGTGCCTGCCTGCAGTACCATTACCACCTGTTTGCCTGCTGCCATGCCACCAAAGATGAGAAGCAGCAGGGGCTCCAGGCAGCGTTTTGCTCTTTTGGGACAGTGGGCCTCGGCAGCAGCCACCCAAGGACGCAGACTCCTGGCATCTGATAATTGTACCAGAAAAGGAAACCTCATTGGGCATCTTATCGATGCTCTTTGTGCCAAAGTCTCAAAAGGAAGCAGAGCAGGAAGAAATACAGGAGCCAGCTACCTTATCTTTATGCGTCCAGCCATCCTGAGAACAAAGCCAAACACCACTGTCAAAGCACTCCCCTGCGCTCCCTGCCAGGTGGGTCAGCTGTAAGAAGGAAGCAACAGAGCTGTGCCAGGGAAGCTGGGTGTGGGGCAGGAGGAAAGAGATGGTAGGAGGCTGGAAAAGCTACCAGGGGCAATGTTCCCTCTAAGTTGTGGAGTCTTGTGAGCAAAAATTCTATTTTGTGAGCTACTGGCATTAAAGATGTGAGTAAGCAATTTGGCTACTGCATAAATTAGTTTGCTCTAAAGCCATCCTTCGTGAGCCAAGACAAAAAGGTGTGAGCCAGAGGCTAAAAATCTGTGAGCTAGCTCACACTGACTCAGTTTAGAGGGAACACTGACCAGGGGTATCGTGGACTGTCCTTTCCTTCCATGCAGATGGGAATAGTCATAGCTCCTGAAAGGACTTGGCTGGGCTGAGCCCAGACTGTGATGTCAGCTGCCTCTTTGAAGAGGAAAGCCAAGAAACCTAGGGCAATTCTGCATTGGCTTTTCCCTCCGTTGTTTTACACAACCTACGTTAGAACAGAAATTCCCCTCTGCATTACATGCGGCTTTCACTTTCTTTGATCATCAGATTTTATGGTACCCTCTAGACTGCATGCCCACTTTCCTTTTCCTTGATCATCGGGTTTTATGGAACCTTCTGCATAGATTTGTGGCTGTTCAGGGGTGACTTTGCAGTCAGTACGGCGTCGCCTCAAGGTTATTTGAATGTGGTTTTGAACTGCACCTTTTCCTCCCAGCTGAGAAAATGTGGAGTGAATGCTAGATGCAGAATCACCCTTAGGGATACTTTCTGATGAGAATTGTTTGCTTTGGCTTTCAGGGCCTGGTAGATTCTGGTGGATCAAAAAGAGTGGCAGGGAAGAACATGACAGGTCAGGAAACAAACCTTGAAGGCCCAATGCAGAATCTGGCAGGCCTTGGGACCAATGAGGTTAGGCTGGAGATCTCCTGGGATTACAACTAGTCTCCAGGCGACAGAGATCAGTTCACCTGGAGAAGATGGCTATTCTGGAAGGTAGACACTATGGCATTGCACCCAACTGAAGTATCTACCTTCCCCAAACCCCACCCTCCTCAGGCCCCACCCCCAATGTCTCCAGATATTTCTCAACCTGGAGCTGGCCACCCTAGTTTGGCAGTTTTTTGGATTCCAGCACTGATTACCCAACCAAACACAGATTGACTGGTTGGGTTGGGCTAGATTGGATTTGGCACTGATCTGAGTCCTCTTCAGTTGTACCATCACATGTACTAGGAGCCTATTCACCAAGCATAGATCCTCCTGATGAATACAGTTGCCATGTTGCGTGAAAAAGAACACAATGCATGTATTTACCATGCACCAACTGCACCGGCACAGGTAAATACATGAGTTGCATGTGTTCATACGACATAGTGACCATGAGTATTATGAAGATCTACAGTAGTCATGACTGTAATAACTCAGAAAATTTATTCATTTATTTAGCTATTTATACCCCATTTTCCTCCCCCTTAACCACGGGACCTCGACGGGACCGCGAGGGGACGCCTGATCGCGCAGTCTCACGTTATTTCGCTGCGGGGCAAACAGCCACGCCTCCCCCCCGCAATATCCGGCCCGTGTGACTGGGGCCCATGTGTCACTGGCCCAAGGATGCCCAACGTCAGGGTTGCCAGCTTCAGGCTGGAAATACCTGGAGATCTGAGGGCGGAGCTTGGGAGAGTGGGGTTTAGGGATGGGAGGGACCTCAGCAGTGTTCCCTCTAAGCTGAGTTAGTGCGCGTTAGCTCACAGCTTTTTAGCCTCCGGCTCACACATTTTTGTCTTCACTCGGGAAGGATGGCTCCAGAACAAACTGATTTATGCAGCAGTCAAATGCTCACTCACAACTTTAAGGCCAGGAGCTCACAATGTAGGAGTTTTGCTCACAAGACTCCACAGCTTAGAGGGACCACTGGACCTCAGTATAACGCCACGCAGCCTACCTTCCAAAGCAGGCATTTTCTCTAGACACAAAACAAATGTTTTAAACAAATAAATAAGCAATTTATGTTGCCTGGAGATCAGTTGTAATTCCAGGGGTTCTCCAGCCCCTCTTATGTTCCAGAAAGAGTCCTCCCTCCTCTGCTTTATCACTCCCGAGTTAGAGCGCTGGTTGCCCTCCCAGTTGTGCCCAGCAATGAGGAGCCAGTGTGGTGATTAGAGGGTTCGAGGAGGTTCTGGGAGAGCCCCGAGTCAAAATGCAACCTCGGAGCTTCAGGTGTGAAATTGACATGTTTGTGTCGGGGCAAACGGCGCTGTGCTGCGAGGCAGCTCTAGTGAGAAGTCGCCCTGGAGTTCTGCAACCCTACCCAGTGAGCTTCCATGGCCGAGTGGCGATTAAAACCTGGGTCTCCTGGATCCTACTCCGATACTTATACCATGTTGCCTCTGATGTTTGAAACATCACTGACTTTTATTTCCACTACAGCCCTGAAGTTTAGCTAGCAAATTCCAAGATACATTGTCCTGCTCTCCCTCTACCCCAGTTTGCCACCTCAAGCAGGTTTTTGGACAAGCAAGAAAATACCTTTTCTAAACCCCACCCCCGAGCAATGGACTTTTTCAGTTAAGAGGCCCCAGGAAGGGAGAGACCTCAATGAAGGGGTACCAACGGGCAAGGCAATACATCAGAGAAGACTGTGAAAGGCTGCTAGAGTCCCACTAGAAGCAGAAATTCGTCTCCTCCCCCAAAATAAAAACACCCCAGAAGGTTTCTTTTATATCAGTGATGGCGAACCTTTTAGAGACCGAGTGCCCAAACTGCGACCCAAAACCCACTTATTTATCACAAAGTGCCAACACGGCAATTTAACCTGAATACTGAGGTTTTACTTTAGAAAAAACAACTCATACATTAACTTAAGATGATCCAAACAAAGTAAGGGAAGCAATCCCAAATACTTTCATTTACTTAAAATTATTTGGCAGAGAAATCAACACTCTAATGACGGTCTGGGCCTGGCTGGGGTGATGGCACGTGTGCCCACAGAGAGGGCTCTGAGTGCCACCTCTGGCACCCGTGCCATAGGTTTGCCACGACTGTTTTATATCAAAGTGAGGGCCCCAAATTTTTCTGAATGAGGAGACACCTAGTCACATAGGGAGACTGGTCAGAAACCAATGCAGCAGTACATGAGATTCACACCAGATATTTAACACATGCCGAGAAGCTTCCAATTCCTTTTGCCCTGGGAGACTGCAACTGGTAGTCAGCTGTAGGGTTTTCTGGTCCCTGAGTGACACGATGTCCAAGAGCCCCTCCACCCAAGTTCCCTTCTCCCACAAGCTCCAATTCTATGTTCCAGGGAATGGACTGCAACTTTCTCGTGCTCTTTTCAGCCCAGGCAGTGACAGAGGGCTGATTAGAAGGGGTGTTGGGAAGAGACAGCAGAGGGCAAGTCTTTCATGCCCACTGTTTCCAGGTAGTTCTCCTGTTTGGAACTGGGAGGTGGATCAAGTGTTTCTACTTGGGAATGGGCCTGTTGCTAAG